GTTGTGCGTTAACATGAAGAACATTCCTTCTTCTATGTGCTCATGTCTCAACACGGTCTCCTGGGAAACCTATTCACTCACAAGCTAAGTCTCTTCCTGCCTCCAAACTTTCCTAAATCATTTTATGCACAGCTGTCACATCAAACTTCCCAATGTCCTTCCTGAAGAGCCTATACAAAGTAAAATAAAAATTCTTTAGCCTGGCCATCAAGGATTTCCTCTGCCCTAGCTACAACTCACTTTCCAAACAATATTTTCTGTGCCTCCATCACCTCTCTAAATCCCCTTGGCACTTTGGATTTCTATATATTATTACTTTATATTTTAGTTTTCAGAACCTTAAATAGCTGCTTATCTCTGTGATTAGAGTATAAGCTCCTTTTGGGAAGGTGGAGGTGGCAGGATTTAAACATGTTTTATTTTGATTCTCTAAAAACCTACTATCGGTTCTATCATGGAATACTACTACATAAATATTCATTGATTGGTTGAACAAATGAATGAAGGAATAAAGTGTTTCCAAATCTGCCAAGTCCACTGCAAACCTAAGGATTGCTTAATATTCATAAAAAGCCTGATTATAAGGTAATGAGATTGATTTTTTAAAACAAATAAGAATTGGGCATTGTGTCAATTACATAAATGCAGATGATACAATCTTATACTTGTAAAGAGCTTCAGAGTCTGCAAAAATTTCCCATGTGCAATATCTCTCCTCCCCTTCACCCCAACCCTGGGAGATTTGCATGGCAGGGATAATCATGCTTATTTGAGAGATAAAAAAACAGCTCTTAGAGTCCTTATCTGTTAGGGGAACTATAACATCTGCCCTAGGAAAGTTGTGACAGTCAAGCATATGAAAGTATTGAGAAAACTTGCAAAAAATGGCAAGTGCTGTGCAAGCCAAAGGACAGGTTATGATCCCTCATATTTGGGAGGTGAAGACCTTCAGGGTACAAAGCAGAAAACGCTCAGTATCTTTCAACCTAGAGATCCACATTGAAAGTGGGGAAAAGTTACTTCATACATTTCAGAACAGTTAATTTAGTGCCCCATATTTCCATCTACTGAATATAAACAACAATAACAAGAAAATTATATCTCACAAACAGTTATTTGCAATGAAGCCAAATAGGATGGTGTGCACCTAGGTGAAAACACAAGACCTGTAGTAAAGCTTGGTTAGCATATTTGTTTTAAGCTTAGCCATGCAGGACAACCATATAACACTCAACACAAAGATTACGATTCTAGCAAAACTATTTTTGTGACAGCAAAATATCAAAAAAGAAGGTTCTAAAAGCAATCAATTAATATATTCTTAGTAAGATACTAGTTTGTAGCAAGATCTAATAGACAGCAAAATTACAAAGCATAAACCTGTATATGATGCAGCCCCAGTTCCCGAAGATGAAAAATCTACATAGTAAAAAATATGATTGGTTAAACAACAACAGAAACACGACATTACAAAATAGACACTGAAAAAGTTAATCAAACCCAGTGCTTGGTAAGTACTTTCGCAACACCAGAAAAATCCCAAATTCAGACCCAAATCACATGATTCTTTCATAATTTACACGTTAAATTCACCAGTTAAATGCAAAATGGCTCAAAACTTTGTGACAACTGGCAGAACTGCCACACATGAATAACCAAACCTTGCCGGCCCCAAGGCAGTCAGGCATCTCACAAGAGCTAGCTTCCCATGGCCAAAGGAGGCCTGGTGGAGTTATCAACACTTCATGTTTTTAATATAAAACATTTACTTGTCTTATGGCTCACTTAGCTGGGACCAAGGCCAGAAAATCCAAGTTAATTTAGTCTGAGGCTGTGTAAGCAAAGGCCTATAGTTTGTACATGTACATTATTTGATTCAAAGCATGGTTGTGGCATGACAGTTCATTGTTATTTTAAGACCCTGTAACAGATGGCCTGCAGGGCCTGCAATGAGAGAAGATCTCAGAGACAGGGGCTGAAACTGCTTGTAGTAATCGCTGGTTTTAGTCCTTCTGGATTGTTACCACCTTACCACTAAGTAAAATGCTTATACTAATATTTCTTGAATAATTATTTTTAGATATTACTTAATGACCTCCTACTAATAATAAGTGGATTTAAATAGTTTTTGCCCTTCCCACACACAGTTATAGCATGATTTTAAGTTCCTCTATTGGTTCCCTTAATCTATAGTCACTGTATCTGAACCCCTCATTCCCCTTCCTCCTTCTACTTCTAATCTCTATCTTATTGTAGGGAGTGGAGATTACATGGTTTGTTGGCATCTGACCTCCTTGGTCCTGCCAAGGGAATCAGCTGAGAAGGGAATATTATTTTATATTTGGGTGGGCTTGTGTCAATGCCACTCTAAAAAATAAGGAGCTGGCGCTCTGTTAAAATTTATAAAACAGCTACTGGGAAAAAGGTTTCGAACAAGAGTAAGAAAGCTAAAATCTTCAAACTATTAGTTGCTTCAATTATTAATTGTTTTGCTGGCCATCACCAAAACATCACTGAAATCGCTCACCAGGCTTATCACATTTGGCTTTTCAGAAACCAAGTCTTTTTCCCGGCAGCTGCCCCAGCTCATTCTTTCTCCAGAAGTTCTGAATCCAGATCTGCTGAGTGACTTACCTTCCACTTCCCCACCAGAGGCAGCAATCTTAGAGAGGTGTAGATACGTTGTCCCAACTACGTCATTTTTGGTAAGCCGGTCCCTGGGCAAAAGAACAGGTTAAGGTCTCCACCTATGAAGATATGTCTTCATTTCAACAATAAAAAGATAGAGCTGGAAAATACTCTAGACCTCGGAAATCATTTTGTCCATTGAGCCTCACACTTTATTGTACTTTGGAATCTCCTGGAAACTCCCAACCCTCATCTTCTGACCATGCTTTTGATTCAATAAGCCTAGGGTGGGGACCAAGAATCTGCATTTATGACAAATATATCTCAATTGAGTCTGATGCAGATGGTCCTCCAACTGCCCTTTATAAACACTAATCTAATCTGGCAACTCATTCTGCAATTATAAAATTGAGATTTTACAGAGAAGTCAAGGGATTTTCTATGACCATACTCAATACCATTGTCATGAAATGAATGAATCAGTCATAGGCATATTACATGATGATTATGATGTAATCTCACTACACAAAGTAGGTGTATATAACTTATTTGACCATGTTCATACTAGTTATTATGATGGCTTAACAGAGAGAAAAATCCCCTCTAATTCAATTCAAACATTTATTGAGCACCTACTATGTGATAGATGCTATTTCTCTGAGTGTAGATGCTTACTTAGAACCTAAATCTTACCTGTGATGTGAGGATGAATTTGCCCACAACCCCGACAAGTGTATACAGCTTTGTGCAGCCTTCTGTGGTTATCTTAGAGAGACTATGAGTCTAACTCATGAAATGGTCTAAGGCTGGGTACAGATTATTAACATTCTTTCTGCTTCATTTCTCTTCTTTATTCCATCTAGCAACATATTCACTCTGAAGTTCATGGCCTCATGGGAGGGAGCAAAGCTCCCTTATTTGGTGGAAGAATTATAGCATGGTATATTAGGTTATAGAAAGTGACTAATTAAACACAATCTGCATGATAAAAAGTTATTATTTGGGGGTATTAAATCACAAGCATAGGGCTTGAATCTTTTTTGTCCATCCAAGTCGGTCTTGGCTACATTTAAAGAATCCTTAGCTTCCCTCAGTAGTGCAGATACCCTACAGGGTATGTAACCTAAAATGTGGCTCCAAAGATTGCCCAGTAAATTAGGGTCTCTCTGTGTATCTTAATCTATATTATTGCCTTGCAAGGGGTAGACTAGGTTAGAAAAAAAACAACACATTGATAGTGATCACAAGTAACTCGGACAGCTCAATCAGTGGTCAGCCCACTCCAAAGCCCACAGGTCACCTGAGCTATGTAGGGTCCAAACCCACACTCTTAAGGGTTTCTGAGGCTCCTTTAATATGTGGCCTGAGGGTCCCAAGTGCCTTAAAGCTATCTTACACTCATTGGAAGGTGGCATTTTGTTCTCAGGGCCCAACCATGGCCCTCAACTAATTGTGATGTGGTCACTGAACAAAATGAGACCCACTCCCCTCTTCCCAATATGACTTGTTGCCATGGTACCAAAGGGTGCTAATGTGAAAGTCAAATACATTTGGCCAAGGGAGAAACTATGGAAACAGCCAGAGAGGGTGGGAGCCCAACTGGGCTTCTAACTGTTCAAGTGACTATAGGCAAGTTACCCAACCTCTCTGACCCTCAGTGTCTTCATCTATAAAATGAAACTAATAGTAGTCTCTATCCCATAGGGTAATTCTACATACTAAATGGGTAATGTAGGTAAGGTACTTGGCACAGTGCCAGGAACTTGGTAATGCTTAAAAAAATGATAGTTAATATAATAAACACTGATGATAATGATAATGACACTGAAGATGATGATGGTATTTGCCACGTTTCCACTCTTAGAAAGCTAAGAGCTGCCAGCTGAATGCTCCATCCACCTAGAACATTCTGAGAATGGTCTCGTTATAGCCAATTAGTGCTAGGAGACTGGTCTCATAAAAATTCTATCTGAACATTTCGACAGATTTTCTTTGCCTTCAGTTAGGTTGCTTTATCCATTATCCTTTCTAACAGTAAAAAAGAATTTCTCTCATAATTTTTGGTGACTCTGGGAAGTCTATGTTGGACAGTCTAAATCCTTGATTTATCTCAAGGCATTTTCAAGTCATTTTTCCCTTCTTTTATTTATGAGCAGTTGAACCAAGATACCCAAAGCTTTTCTGAAACAATACTACCATTAAACTTTTTTTTTTTTTTTTTGAGAATACCCAGTTCCAGGAGCAATTTATCCTTTCCCTCTGGAAGAAAATCAAACATGCCAAAAAGTAAGAGTTAGACCGTCTAGAATAATGTTCGTCAATATCCAAATGTTTAATTCTTTAATGTTGAATGAAACGCGTTTATTTTCAACTCACCAGTCATATATTGTTAGTTTTATTTTTTCACATACTGAAGGAAACTGTTAAAACAGAAAAAAAGTAATTATTTCTCTACTTATTCAGTAACGACTAAAGTAAGTATTTTTAATCTTTCTAAAAGAAAAGGAAGTCAAACCTTGATCTGAAGATTGACGATTTGATTCCACTCAGGGTTTGCATTTTTCTCAATTATATTTGTGCAAACCTGCAAAATCACCAAAGCAGAAGTACAGCTATTCACATTTCTGATTTCTAAAAATGTATAATATATGCATACTGGATTAGAGTCTAGCAGTTTACTTATTAGTTATATACTTAGTAATCTAGGTAAGGCTTATTTTTCCTGATAATAATTTGTTAAAATGTGACATGGCTTTAATATTGATCTTTGCTTAAACTTCTATGCACCAGAAGCTTGTTTTTATCCATTTGTTCATTAGTTTTCAATTTCTAGGTTTCTAACATTATATTAATGTTAGAAATGTTAATGTTAGATTAATGTTAGAAATGTTAATGTTAGAAATTCTTAACGTTTATTAAGAATTTATTATATTGTGTTTGATAAGCATCTCATCATTTATATGTCCAAACAGATCTTTTGATCCTGCCCACCAGCCTCCCCACCCCTACCCCAAACTGGTTTCTGTTCCACTCTTTCATCGCTGTTCCCTTGGTTGCTGAGGCTGAGAACCAGAGTCAGCGCTAACCCCTCTCCCCCTCACATGCCTCATCCAGTCCATTAGTAAATCCTGACACTTCTGTCTTCAAGCAGAGCCTGAAACGTTTCTCCCCTGGGTGCCTGCAGTTGGTTCCCATCTGGAGCCCTACTCCCTCTCTTGCCTCCCAACGTTCATGTCACTCCTACGTGTAACAACTTCAGTGAGCCTTCAAAGTACACTTAGAACAAAGTCCAATCCCTCCTCTGGGTGATAAAGCCCTACCTGTCCCAATCCCACATCTTGCTGATTTCACCTCTCAGTTTCCCCCCTTGCGCACTCTGCTCCAGCCACATGGGCATTCATGCCTTCACTGTAAACATGTTTCCTCCTTGGGATCTTTCCATTGCTCTTCTCTCTGCTTGAAAGCCCCTGCTCCCCAGATCCCCAGATATCCAGGCCTCTGCTCAAATGCCACTTCCTCAAAGGTGTCCCACCTGATAACCTCTATAAACACCCCTCCCCTGCATAATCATTTCTTATCCCTGCTTTATTTTCTGTGTAGTGTTTAGCACTATCTGAAACTATTCAATTACTTGTTTGCTTATACACTGCCTGTTTCTTCTATTCCAAAGTCAGCTCCCTTGAGAGCAATGGCTGTCCCATGTGCTCATTCCCATGTCCCAGCACATGAGACAGTATCCGATACTTAATAGGCTCACAGTAGATACTTCTCGAATTAATCATCCCCTCAACAATCCTATGAGATTATTATTATCCCTATTTACAGTTCAAGAAATTGAAACTCAGAGATTAAGGAATTTGCCTGCCTGTGGAGTGGGGTGAAGCCCAAATTTCAATCAGACCTTATCTCACCCCTGAGCTGAGGGCTCTTCCAGCACACCCCCACTGACTCTGCTGGGGAATAATTCCCAGTCGTGTGTGTGTGGTTTGCTAAATCTTGCTTTCATAAAACAAATGGCTCAAACACATAAAAGATGCTAGTTCTTCATGCCCATAACTGCCTGTGGAATGTTGTATTCTACTACAGAATCTCATTCTCCAATCTCTGACCATCTCCATAGGCCAAAATGGTGGATAAAGGTGTCCCTGTAACCTCTTAGCTTTTTCCAAAGGGCTGGGATGGTGCTTCCCTACCTGATTCTCCAGTTTCAACAGCTCTTTGGGGTATGGAAGGTGGGAAACATGACAGGAGGGGGCGGCTGGGCGTTGCAGGGGCTCTACTCTACCACGTTTACCAGGGATGATTGTGGCTGGTTAGGGAGTTTGCCTAAGATTAAGATAAAGCTTGGGCCAGGGAAATAATTCCAATAATTCAGTGGTAGCTTTTGCTATTCTAATCTTTCAAAAGATTGAATTTTCTAACTTGAGCCTGCATACTTTCCACTCTAAAATAAACTGGTGGAGAAATCCGGCATGTTCAGACTCAGATAATCTGTTCCCTGCAGAGTGCCCAGCTCATTAGGGGGGCTATTTTAACAAAGAATAAGCAGGAATTCACTCCAAGGAAAGCATATTGTTTTAAATATTTAATTCTAGAGGTATCTGCATGTAGATCACATACAAACCTTTTTTCCAGCAAAGGAAACTTCTACAAAAGGATCCACAAGGTTTTTCTTATCTGCATTGCCTCCAAATATCTCCTTCACCGTCTGTGAGAAGGCATCGTCCACTGGAAAGTAATATATTGCACAGCAAAAAATGAAATTTGATTCTCTTAAAAGAATAGAAATTATTCTGCAAAATTAAAAAATTTCTCCTATACATGAAAATAGTCACAACAAGAATCATTCTCGGGGGTGGCGGCTCTAGTAGCAGAAATCCTTTTTGTCTTAGGGGAGAGAGAAAGAAAATGTTTTCTCCCTGCAAAGTTTTAAAATCAACAGGAGCTCCTGGAAAACTAAATTGATAAATTATTATTTAAAAATTGTTCATTTATGGAGGATAAAAGTAGAATAAAGAAAGTCCATTCAGTCAGGGAAAGAGGCAATTCTCAAACTCAGGCCTGGTTTCAATTTGGAAAAGGCACTTTAGGTCAAAATGATAGAAACTCGGTCTGACTTTTTCAGAGAAATTCAAGAAAATGTGGCATAATCATAAACAACAAAATCATAAATAAGACATTTAACCATGTACAATCTGTGTTAACATACTCAAAAGTGAGTAAAGATCAATTAAACAAGTGCATGTAAGAAGTGATATGAGGTTTAATTTACTTCTTTTAGATATTTTTGAGGGAAAGATGGTATGGGGGGGTGTTATAGGGTCTTAGAAAAGGGAGAAGTGTTCCAAGGAAAAGCAGCAAATGCTGAAGTGATCCATGGTCTGTACACTGGGTGCTGCCTCCTGGGGACCTGGAGGAGGGTCCTATGCCCCAGAGCCCAGCAGG